GTACAAATAGTAAATGCCGATGTTTTCCTATTATAAATTTTGGGGGAAATAGCCTGTATTTCCTCAATGTAAAATGTCAAAATTTCTCAATCACTTATTAATTTTAAAAACTTATTCCACACAGAATCTACACGTAATTTCGATCCAAACTAAAAGGAAAATTCGCAATAACGGAAAACATCCTCTGTACGTACGTACCCCGCTCCCCCCGTGCAAAATCATTCAGTTCAGGTCCATTTTTCCGCGTTTTTTATTTTTTAAAATCCTTCTCGCTGACGACAGCCACACGTCTCTTTCATTTCGTTTTTAATGTCGCAATTCAATTTGAAAATAAAAATCCGTGACATCAAAGTCCATCGAAAAATTTTCTGTAAATCCTGTTTTCGTAAATCCAGTTTAACCGGAATTTTAATACCCCTGAAATATATTATGATAAATCTCCATCTACAATAGATCACAACAAATTGAACAATGACGGTTAAATCCTCCAATTTATCCATTAAGACTGACTATCACTCGATTACGTCCACCCCGTTAAACTGTCAAAACTAATCTGACCGAATTTTACGTTTTCCGTGGAAATATATATACTGCGGATGCGTACTCCCCGTCGGGGCCTCATCTACAGAACTCTAGCGGAAGTTTGGATGCTGCAAAGTTATAAAGTGGGCGGAGCAATTTTTGATTGATCGTGTCACAAATCATTTAGAGAACTCGACAGGTTCTGTATCGTAGATACAAATTTGGGGGTGGAGACTCGTGCTAAAGCACTCGTCCACCCCCAAATTTGTATCTACGATACAGAACCCGTCGAGTTCTCTAAATAATACTTACAAATCTTTTTTTAGGTGTGGATCACGAGAAAGAATTCAAAATGTAGCATACTGTTAGTGAAAAAATGACAAAGAAGAATGTTATTTACAAAGACTTTCATACATATGTATCTATTTATAGCACAGATGTGTGCTGGTAAGTACATATGCAGTCACGTACATGTGCATGAGAAACATTTTTTTTATCAAACAGCATTTTATATCACACAATGAATATCTTACGCTTAGTGTCCTTTTCTCATTATACATTGTACTAAAATTATCGTTTATAATGATTCTAGAATTGTTAATTAAATCATAAATAGATAATCAAATTATACCTTAAGTTTCTCTGTCTAAGTAACACTGTCGTTTGACGAGAAATGGCGTACGCCAGAGGCTGGCTCACCCTCCATCCCTCTCTTAGCATCTTTATGGTTGGCTGAAACAAATCTTTCCAGGGAAGTTTGCCGCCAATTTTCCAAGCTTCATACAATCCTTTAATTTCACTGGTACTCCTATGGCTAAACCACCTAGCAAAAGGGATGGAAAGAATATTAATAATATTCCGCAAAAAAAATTCCGAAAATATGCAAAGAAAATAGAAAACTATGGAATCCAGAGAGGTCCACATAGTTCACTATCGCGCCATCAAGGTTGCAGTCAATAGTGCAATGGTGACATCATGGGAAATTTTACGATGAAGCGATGGTGCGATGACGATGAAGCAATAGTGCGACGGCGATGACGCGATGGCATGATGAAGCGATGACGATGACGCGATGGCACGATGAAGTGATCACGTGTCGGTGCGTGGCGATGACTAGTTGGTGCAATGACCATGGCGCGATGGGACGGTGATGACGAAGCGATGTTCAGTATCTTCCCGTCGTTTTGTTGTTAAATTACTTTTCAAAACAAATATATCTTGTAAATATAATTACTGCAGTTCTGCTGCTGTAGGTTACCTGAGTGACTCAGGTAACCTACAGATGAGACATAATTATATGTACACTGTACATTGTATTTACATTTCTAAAAGTTTTAGTTAAAGCGATAAATGTAACTGTTTTTGGTTTCAATTTGTATTTGATGGATTATGGATCTTTACTGCACACTGTTTATACATGTACCATTACATTGTCAGGTTTTGGTTTCAATGTTTCCGAAAAAGAATTGTTTTGAAGACTTTAATTTGGTTAATGCAGAAACAAACTATATTACGAGTATTAGAGAAATTGTAGCAATTATAGGGATAAACCCACTAGTTTATATAGCTGTTAATAAAATTGTTACTCATTTTTACCTTCCGTTGAAGATTTATTCTCTGGCACATACATTTCTTCTGTAGCTCCCCCTGGCGCCATCTCGCGGGCTATGATTGTGTAGGCTGTGTTATTTGCCCTTTAAAATTAAAAACTTGAAGGTTGAATGACCTTAAAGAAAGTTATTTGTAATGTGTACAAACAGTGTAAATTTTTAGTAATCTGTAATTTTAATCAAATAAATTAAGTTTTTAAACAAGATTTCTGTTACAAGACTAGCACATACCTATTGTATACAGTCATGAAATGCCCTCCTCCAATACCACAACTGTGACTGTTATCAACACACTGACAAAGAATGGTGGCGATAGCAGCATCTACCACGGACCCTTGTCGCCGGCCCATGATATCTCTGAAATCCAGTACAGTTAAAAATGGTATTTGTTTTAAAGCTGTTTTTTGGCATTATTTTTATCATTCATTCCTATACAATATGTCCAACGATTCCTTGTCGGAAAAATTAAGACACTTTATATATTTTTCTTAAATTAAAATGGTATTTGAATTTAATTAGTTGTTTTTATTTTTTTTTGTTCATCCGTACATAAATAATACGTGTAGTTAAAAAAAATATACAGAGGTATGCCTTATAGACTGTAAAGAAATTAAGAAAAAAAGATCCAGGAAGTCACACATGAGAAAAACATACGTGCCGATTTGTGCGCAGGTTCCGGTATCGGATGCAATGGCAGCGTATCGATAATGACCCTCGATTGATGGGGTTCCCTCCGGAGCGGGTTTGGTGGTGGTGGTGGGTGGCGACCCTGTGGAGGAAGGTCCCGATTCCGTCCCTTGTTCTCCACAAGGTGTTTGGCTGGAATCCTTGTCTCTAGTTAGCACAAACCCGAGGCCAAGTCCGAGGGCAATAATACAGGCGATGATGAGAAAAGTGGCGATGATTATCAAACGCCCTTGAGACATTTCTTTGGACCTTTAAATAACCAGGAAAGCCTTATTACCTACTCGATATACCGGTAGATACACGATTTTTTATATAAATGAACAGAAGCTGCAAGATTGACATTCGTGTTTCTTTCATCCACGTAGAATAGATACGAGAGAGTCTTTTAAATAATTGTCGAAACGGGATTAACGGGCCCTGAGTTATTACTTAATGAGATGAGTGACGATTATTTTGACAATTTGAAGTAATTAAGTGTCAACTGGAATGTCTCAATCCTGCTCCAAAAGAAATTTCATTGATAAAGAAAAGAATAAGTTCAATAATAGAAGAATTCCACAGATGAACAGTTTAGTTTTTTGAAATTTAATTAATTTAATATTTTAAAAAGTTATTTTCATTCAAAAATGTTAATTTTGCTCGATGATATATATATACCGGTATATATCTTGTACCCTTGAAAATAGGCTTGGGCCTACCTTTTTTTCAAAAACAGTTTTTTTTTCGTCCAAAATTGGGTACAGTGGATTTTTACTGTTTCAAAAGAGATAAAAGATACCACAGAGTCTTACACATCTGTTTCATATTTAGATATTTTACTTAAAAAAAGACGTCAATGGTAATCTTACAACCTAGATTTATGATAAACGTGATTACTTTAACTTTTCTATTGTAAGCTTCCCTAACTTATGCAGCTATATACCTTCACCAAAGGAGTTTATATATCTCAGTTGATTCGATACGCAAGAGCATGCTCTATGTATGAACAATTTCTACAACGAGGTAAATTATTGACAAACAAGTTGATGAAGCAAGGATTTCAGCAGGCTCGTTTAGAGTCATCATTTCGTAAGGTCTATGGTCGATACAATGACCTTGTCAGCAAGTACAATTTATCATTGAGTCAAATGCTGCCTGACGTTTTTCATAGTAATTGTTAGGCCATTAATTACACACTGAAATGTCGACAGATTTTCCCGTTATTTCCTGATCATGACATGGAGCACACAGCGAGTGTGACCGGTCGGCAGGGGATGCTCACTCCCCCATGGCACCTGATCCCACCTCTAATGGTTTAGAGGTCACTTTTCCCTCTGCTTCAAAATGTGTACAGTTTCATGGATCATCTAGTGAGCTTGAAAAGTGTTCATAATTTCCATAAAGGACAAGGTACATGGTAACGGCCGAATCTGACCCCTTATTTGATGTAAAAACCAGAACAATGTTAAAATCGTGATAGTTTGAAGCTAACAAATTAAAAATGCTTGTTTCAAAACCAGCACTAACTTTGATTCAAAGCTTACACTGAGGCCACAACAGAGTGCAGAAGTAAGACATTTTCCCGATTTTTAAAAAAAAATTCTGGTGGAATTTCATCATATTTGAGATACGTTTCTCTTCGGGAGGCACAGAACGCAAGCTTGCCTCTTTGAGATTTTTATAGATAAAATGCATCTGATACTAGTTTATGAAATATTAAAATTTGGTAGAAAGGCAAGTTTGAGATCTTTATATTTTTCCAAAACAAAATGTGCTGTAAAATCGATAGAAAATCCAGAACTGGACATATTTTCTTACCTTTCTGTCACTTCTGTGTATCCCTTAGAACTAATACTCATTTTGTGGCAGGGGTGACAACAGGTTTTTGTTTTTAAACTGTTGCATCATTCTTAAAGACACCCTAAATCATAGGCCAAAAAGGGGTCTTGAATATCTTGTCCTTTCATGAAACGGGGGAAAAAATAGCTTACCCCATAATGTATCGTGACTCAGCAAGTCGTGTACTGTCCTTTGACTCTGAATGAAATTTTGTTAGACTGGAATAAAAATTTAGAATTAGTTAAAGAAAAAAAAAAAAGAAAAGAAAATCGAAACGGCGCGAGATAGATAAGTATAAGAGCCGCAATATAAAAGCTTTTTTGATTCTTCTTTGTAGAGTGTAATGGAAATCTAAATCGATCTTTGAATCAAGTATTTAAATTATCATGCTAAGTAAATATTGCATGAAAAGAGATGCTTGCAAAATTTTTCAGACATGTGTCCCAGAAAGAGAGAAAGAGAGAGAATAAATACCCAAATTTGAAAGCAAACTATCTTTATATGTCAGAAAATTTAATATAGTGATCAATAAAATCATAGTATCATGTGTAGAAATTTCTAGAACTCAAAATTCATTGACTAATTGAATATCCCGAACTAAATTTCATGACGTTGCGCACGGTGTTGGTTCATATTGACGTTATGTAATGATTTCACATTATTCAAAAAACGATCTTACACCTTCATCATCCATTTGGTACTTTTCTACGTATTCTTAGATTTCACCAGGTTTTCATGTATAAATTTTGAAAATTGATTTCTCTGTCTATCTCCGTAACCCTTTTCTCTTCAAATTTGAGCTTCCTTGCATACAAATTTCCCCCCATTTTTATAAAGTTCAAAATATGCCGCTACAGTTCACATGCTCTGGGGTATCATCAGAATTGTAACGTACATTGTTTATTTTGACATGTTAGATTTCCTGACCCAGAATAAATTGAATGGACGAGATTTTAAAACGTACCAATAGAGAGGAGTATGGTTGATCACGAATGAATGGGCCACAGATCCAATGTAAATATTTGAATAATACTGGCAAAGTTAAAAAAAATGTAACGGCGAGAGACCAAAAGCTGTGCATATTTTTTTGTTCAAATGGGGTTTAATTCTAATTTCCGAATTAAAAGAAAAATTACCTTTTAAAAAAATCATTTAAACTACATGTTACCTCCTTTATTGTCAAGTTGAAAGAACTTTGAAGATATTTGTTTTTTTTTCCACTTAGGACCGAAATATTATGACGAGAATGCACCTCAAGTACCATGTAGACGTGGACGCTACTTGATATTTCACACTTTAAGAGATTTATAACCGTATTTGTTGACAATATAAGGACTATCGGCTTGATGCGTAAACACGGCTGGTTACTTGTAACATGACAAGATAACAAGGGTCTTGGAATGGTCAGGTTGACATACGTAATTATAATGTGTGATATTAAATGCCAGTTTGTGTATGGTCTACTTGTAATTAAGCTAAGACAGGGATATACATGTAATATTTCATTCAAGCATCGGAATAAAATGAATTTCCTATTAAATATAATATACATGTATTATTAAAATAATGAGGATCAGAGCCTATACTATCAAATTTATAGACTGGGTGACGATGAAAACGCCGTGTTAAACACAAGAAAATGATAACAGATCCTTTAAAGGACTTTGTAATAGAAAATAGAAACGCACGACATTCTGTATAAAGTACTGTCATTTTCAAGTAATCGTTAGATTGTACATGTATATCTTTCAAGTTCCGTGAAGGACGGAAGAAGTTTCCAATGATGAGCATTCACTTGTAATAAAGGTGTAGAGACAGTACTTAAACGCTGCATGGTTGGAACGAGAGATACGTCTGAATGCACGTTTTAACAAATTAATATAAACACAAAGAAGAAAGACGTGAAAACGGAGGAAAAATAACTTACCTTTACTTCCTTCCTTTACTCACTGCTGTCCAGCGCAAGCACAAAGCCTTTTAAAAATCCTTTTAAATTTATGTATAGAAAAATCCCATTACAACAAATGCCTGGTCAGTAAAAAAGGCCGTATTTACATTTTTATGACCATAAGCAAACGCTAAACAAAAATTCTGACCTAGCAAAATTTTGCAACAAACAGGTGAGATTCCCGTGTCGTTTAGTTGTTCATTCTCCAGTCTTTTTAAGTCAGGAATATACCGGATGCACCTGTACGTAAGAGATGTTTGTTTATGTCAAGTTACACCTTAAACACCGAGTAGAGAAAGGTAGCGTTAACAAGGCTGTTTAAAAGGCTTCTTATACGAAAGAAAGGACATAGAATTAATTGTAGAACTTGCATGCGTTTTAAATGATAAATATGAATGCAATTTTTCAGGTTTTCATTACATGTTTTTTTTTCCTTTTCTAACATAATTATCTAAAAAAAAAACAAAAAAAAACATGTTAACACGGATCTCAAAATTTAAATAGGATAGGTGTGGTAATATTTCGGAAAACACAAAACCAAATTAACACTCTTAAAAAAATCCGAGGACGGTTAAAAATGTTTTTAAGTGTTGTCTATTTAATTAATTCACCATTTCTTTTTAAATACTGATGATATAAAGAAAATAGGGTATGCATATATCATTTGCTATAAATCGCATTTCAAGTGGGATAACAATGTGCGAGTTACTGTTTTCAATATTGATTTTCATCAAAGCTGTGACTTAGTTTTCAGTGTCGAGTAAATATTGGATGCTTATATAGAGCCTTTAAGATGAGAGAGGCCAAGTTTAAATCCTAGAGTGAAGAATTCTCCTCAAGAGTTGTTTTCATTCATAACCTTAGCATGTAAAGATTTACTTCTGCAATGAAACTTGCACCTTTGTTTAACATATTGAAGGCAGTTCTAGGTTTTTGAAAAGAGATGAAATATTGCACGCCAAAGAGGGTGTCTTTCTCTGGAAGAGGATATGTTACAGATGTATGTATAATTTCATTGCAAACTCCCGAAGGCTTCTCGAGATACCTCGGAAAACGACTGGAAAAGACTGTATGAAAGACGGTTTGAAAGGCAGATGGACAGACAGACCAAAGTTATCCCCTACCTTCAGTAACAGCGGGAAACCAAAATAATGGTCAAGAAATTTAAAAAAAAATATGTGTACATGAGATGAAATTCTTGGAAACGAAATAAAATTTGCGGTAATACAATTTTTTCTAGTATGGTTCAGCATTGCCTTTCCTACTCTGTGAGTTTTACTGCAGTCAAAAAGTCATCCATTAATTTCAAAACTGCAAAGATATTTTCCTTGACGCATTAAACGACTTGTAATCTCATTATTTAAATTTCGTACATTCTACTCATGCATAAATTCTGTTGATATAAATATATACCTACAGTACCGACCGGACACAACCTAACAGAAAGCGAACCCGGAGCGGACCCCGGGTTCGCTCCGCTAAGGCTGACCCCGAGCGAACCCGGAGCGCACCCAAGGCGAACCCGAAGCGGACCCGAGCGAACCAAGCGGACCCAGAGAGCGAACCCCAAATTCAGTAGTGGTCCCAGAGAGCGAACGCGCGTTCGGTATTTCTTTACAGAGCTGTCAATCAGCATAAGCGGTTAACCAAGAAGCGCATCAACCAATCAAAATAGCATAATGATCTTTCAATTGGGATAAAAGATCGAACGTGTCGTTATAATTCAGTATAAATCCAAACATTGTACATACAAGCCAAACGTGTAAAGTTACAGTGTAAATCTATCATGTAATTAAAATATTATTTTTATATTTATTTATTTTAATTCTCCTGGTTGTATTTTATATTAATTTTTTATATATTTATTTTCTTTTTTTTATTATTATTAAAGCAATTAATAAATTATATATTTTAATTTTCCACGTAGAATGATACATGAAATTTTAAGTATTTATTTTCTTCAGTTCTTTATACCAGTATTTAAAGCCCATGGGTAAATAAATTGTGTAAATACAATGCGTAAAAAAGGAAATAAATAATTGGTATTACAATTTTTACTGACAAAAAGAGGAGAAAAGAAAAAAAGTTGGTCTTTGACAATTATTGTAAAATTTCATCATCTCAAGATACTGACAGTACAGCAATATTTACGTGCCCATCAATAATTTTATTTCCATTTTCTCAATTTACGGGTTCCTTTAAATCATTTAAAATTCACATCAAAATTATTGTTCTTTTGATTGCGCATAAAAAAAATACATGTACTTGTACGTCTTCCGGTATATTTTTGGGAAAAAAAATTATTGCAGCAGACTTATAGAAAACAATTCGGGTACGGGATTGGGAGGACGACTTATAGTAATTTAAGAAAAAGTCATCAGGCTTTACATGTATTATTAAAATCTAGTCTAATGATGAGAGTTAAGATTCTCTCTCTCTCTCTCTCTCTCTCTCTCTTTTGGTCTTATGTTTCCTGTATTTATTTATATTCAAATATTTAGAAATATTTTTTTAAAGATAATTTTTAATTCTATTAATGTGTGTGGGTGAAGTAGGGGGGTATATTATTATATTCTTAGCGAGCCGGGAGAACAATTATTATTTGTCATTTTATTTATTTTTCTCATTCTGATTAAAATCATGCTCTCTCCATAATTCTGCGCGTTAAAAAGATCTGATATTTTTTTTTTTTTTTTTTTTTTTTTTTTTTGAAAAAGTCCTGTAAATATTTATTACGAACTTTTAATGTGTAACTTCTATGAATGAAATCTAGATATATCACGTGTACAAAAGTTTAATGTAATTTATAGATGCGATATCATAATTCACGTGTTTGGCAAAGATTTAAACTCCGATTTTTCGAAACTTAAGGAATAACAAATATGATTTTAAAGTATACATGTATAACGCATGAATTCGAAAGGTATTTTGTTTAGATGCTAACTTCAGTTTCACTTGTACACCATTCGATACATTTAATATAATTCAACACCATTTTCTTCCTGTTCTGTTTTTGCTTTCACGGTAAAACTAAAGAAAAATAAATGCCTAATAACCCGCTGTTAAATAACTGAATTTCTCGGGATCGAAATTCCGAGATCGGAGAAATCAAGGAAATCAATTATACATGTAAATATACGTCGAATGTACAGTTGAATTTTGGAAAATTTATCAATGTTCTCCATAATGTCACTGTTTACATGTACAGCCCAGATAGCAGGATGTTATTGGACCTTTGTTGGGCCAACAATGCTCCTTATGTTGGGCCACCGTTTGCATTCAACATTGGGCCATCGGTAATTTGCTCATCGGCCCTTAATCAAACCAACTTGTTGGCTTATTGTTGGGCCAATGTAACAGTTAATATTGGGCCAATGTTGGGCCAATGTATTATTTCAATATTGGGCAAACGTCATTTTTGTACAATTGGGCCATTGTAAGCAATTAATGTTGGGCCAACGGTAATTTGCTCATCGGCCCTTAATCAAACCAACGTGTTGGCTTATTGTTGGGCCAATGTAACAGTTAATATTGGGCCACTGTTGGGCCAATGTATTTTTTCAATGTTGGGCAAACGTCATTTTTGTACAGTTGGGCCATTGTAAGCAATTAATAATGGGCCAACGGTAATTTGCTCATCGGCCCTTAATCAGACCAACTTGTTGGCTTATTGTTGGACCAAGGAACGGATATCATTGAGCCATTGTTGGGCCACTTATTCTTTCAATATTAGGAAAACATGTTTGGACCAACGTTGGTTTGTATCTTATTGGCTCTCCATCATGACAACTCATTTGCTCTTCACTGGTTGGCCACTTGTCCTCAAAATTGACAAACAAATATATACAATAAGGTTATAATAGTTTTGTACTACAGTTTAATGGTAAAAGCCCTTTAATACTATCTATATATGCTATATATGCTAGATTGATAGTTTGATACATATTCTCAATATGTCAAAGAATTGCCATCAACAAGTATTGCATTGTAAGTAGCTCTACATTTATTAAAAAAACTGAGGAAAAGGAAATCAAAATATAAGAAAAAAATATGACTTACAATAATTTTATTGCTCAGTGCATAAAGAAAAAAATTAATAAAGAACTAGTTGATGCTCACTTCAAGCGATACATGTAGGTTTACATGACTGTATACTCCTTCTCTGATGTAAATTTATGCACAACTTCAGTAAATTACAGGTATCAATAAGCACGTCTAACAAATAAACAAAGCCCCCCTGTTCTTAAAATAATACTAAAATGAATCCTGTCATTTTGTTTACTTACACAAAAAAATGTTTCTGGCATCTGCATCGTGTTTGTAACCGACAAACAGACACGGAAACGGGTAGAACTACAGGTATGTCACACTATATTATAGAAAAAAGTTAGGCACTGTAACTTTCCATCTGGTCCCTCTAATAAGTCTCCTCTTCTCTCTCCCAAGTCTCCTCCTCTCCCTTCTTTTCTTTTCTTCTCTGTCCGTTTCTTCCTCCCCCATCCCTGTCCTTGGCATACCTTAGCTATTCTTTGATTGTGTTCTCAATGTCTTTTTAGAATCTCCAGTAGCACTAAAATTGTAGTATTTGGTACTTAATACATTTGTTACTTTTCTCAGTAAAGAGTAAACATACGATTAAATTTACAAGTATATCACTATATGTTTAAGCTGTCAATTAGGAATAACTGTCTTTTTTTGTTTCTTGGTGTGATTAAGCTTGCGTGATGAAAGCATTTATGCATAACATTTCTACGCTTGATCATCATCATCACAACGTTTGATCCAATGTTGCCCCATATAAAAATTTGTCGTTACACTGAACAAATTTTAAATGAAAGAACCCAATTTATGTTTAGTACTGAGTGAATTTTGTTTTAACTTCAACATGTTCAACATTTTCAAAATGTTTGATCATGTACTCGACGTTTAAGTGTATATAAGTAAATTAAGTGGTAGACTTCGGAAATGTATTCTACTAGACACAAATTTCAATCTAAATAAGGGGCAAATTATTTATTGTTTTAACTGTATCAAAACACATTTTTTATTTTATACTTTCATTTATTTTTCTTGTATAGAAACAATAAATTTAATCACTGTTAATTTATTTTGATTTGATAAATTATAATAATTTTAAATTTATTTTACCTAGCTTGTATTTTCAAGTAGGATTGGTCGTAGATTTATTTCTGATTGTAGAG